CCTCCCTAGGCCGCTGGCAGAGAGGCGCCCCTGCTGGAGAGGCACCGCGGTGCACAGTCCTCTCAGGCCCCGGCAGAGCCCCTCCCATCTCCCTGGGGGTGGGAGGGGCTCCCCAGTGGACAGAGGAGCTTCAGTTTCAAATCCAGGGAGTGAGAAGGGGCTGTGGAGCCCCTCCCTACCAGAGTAGGACTTTAGGGGCATGGCTGGTGCCCGGCTGGGGTGGGTCCTGCACCTGCAGGTTGGGGCCAGGACCCAGGAGGGCCTGTGGAGCCAGAGGCGGCTTGTACTGTGGGTGAGGGCGCTCCATACCCTGCAGCGACAGGCTGGTCCCCAGTCTGATTCTACAATGGGGTGGTGGCCTTCCAGACCTTTCAGTGCCAGGACCCCTGCCCCCGGAGGCCAGGGTGGAACAGCCCTCCTCTCTCACTGTGACCCGGTCCTTAGGGGAGGCCTGGACTCCGAGTTAGGGAGAGTGGAAGCTGCAGGGCGGGCAGATCAGGAGCTGCGTCCCCCATGTGCCCGGGACTGAAGTCTGGGTTCCTGGCAGCCAGGAGCTCTCCAGGAAAGCCTTTTCCTGGGAAAATGAGGCCTGAGACTCAGCTGGAAGGCACCACCATGCAGATGGCCCCCCTTGGGGATCTGCTCTGCCCAGGGAGGGAGGAGGGGGTGACACAGCACAGCCTGGCCCTGTGCCCTTGCCCTTGGGTTCCAGGCACAGGTTCTGCCTATGTGACTGCCTGTCCACGGGGCCCTGTGGGTGGGTGGCTGCCAGGTGGTCCAACACACATCCAGGTCCCCTGTGCCCCCCAGGAGGGTGTGGGCTGCCTGCCTTGCCATTGGGCTCTGGGGACTGTTAGTCTTTGAAGGGCTTTCCTCCCTGGGTGAGGGTGTAGTCAGACCTTCAGTGTTTCTATGAGTAAAATTGAGGGTCTGAGTGACTCAGAGGCCAGCGCTCCCAGGGGAGGGAGAAGGACCTAGAACTTGGAGTTGGAGGGAAGGTTGGAGTGAGACACGCCTGGGCCTGGGGCTGTGCCTGCAGGCATGGACACGAGGTGGCCCCCGCAGGACTCTCTCTCCGGAGGATGGGCTCAGGGCCGCTGCCCTCCCCTCCCCCATTTGCCTGGAATCACAGCCTGAGCACCTCCCATCCTGGGCTCAGCAGGAATCAAGGTGGGCGGACCCAGATGCCTGGGCTGGAGATGGACAGGAGGGCATGTTGCCTGTGGTCTCTGAAATCTTTTCTAACTGAGCCTGGGCCTTCAGAGGTCGGTGACACTGAAGCAGCAGGGCTTTGTCCCCAATAGAGACCCCTGCAGGCCAGGTCAGTGCCCATGGGGACCCTAGGGAGGGCCCACACAGGGGTCCTCAAACTACGGCCCACAGGCCACATGCAAATACAAATATTATATTTGTTCCCATTTTGTTTTTTTACTTCAAAATAAGATATGTGCAGTGTGCATAGGAATTTGTTCACAGTTTTTTTTAAAAAACTATAGTCCGGCCCTCCAACGGTCTGAGGGACAGTGAACTGGCCCCCTGCTTAAAAAGTTTGAGGACGCCTGGCCCACACTCATTGGCTTCTTCTTGTCTGAAGTGACAAGAGACACCTTCAGGGCTTGGAATGGAGACTCCATGCAGGGCCATGCCCTTCCAGGTGGACATCACACCTCAGTCACCACCAGGCTCTCCCCCTGTGTGGTGTCCTGGGGTCGCATTGACAGCCCCCGACTGGGGAGTGTGTGCTTAAAACAACACAAATGCATCCTCTTACTGGCTAGAGGCCAAAAGCCCACAATCAAGTTGTTCTGGGGCCACAGCTACTCCCAGGCTCCTGCCTCCTGCAGCTGCTGGTGGTGCTGGGACCCTTGGTTGAGGAGGAACCCCTGGACCCCCACCCCATCCTCCCCACCCTTCTGTGCTCTCCGCATCCTCACCTCTTCCTACAAGGAACCATCATTGGATTAAGGGCCTCCCCCCCTCCACTCTGACCCCATCTGAACTAGTTGCATCTGCACTTATTTCTAAAGCAGGTCAGGTTCTGCGGGACCGCACTGGTTCACACTGACTCCCTCACTGGTGAGGTTACAGGCCACCAGGCTGTGTGCTCCTGAGAGGGGGAGCGCGCCCCTGAGGAGGCAGGGCCTGGCCACAGGAAATCTTTAGGATTCCCACGGCCCAGCACCCAGGGCCCCCATCAAAACAACCGGACAGTGAGGGCCTCTGCCCCTCTCAGGGAAGCAGCGTGCTCCCCACCTCACAGTGCCCTCCAGCCCATGACGCTGGCCCCACAACAGGCTCCCGGGTCTGAGTGGTCCCAGCGCTGGACAGGGCTCTGCTGCAGGTCCAGCTGCACTGGCCTCACAGGACGCAACAGACATGATGGTGTTAAAAGTATTGGTGATGGTGCATGCCCCGCGAGGGGCAGGACAAGGCAGGCCATGCAGCCTGCACTGAGGACTGTTCCTGAGATGTGAGTGACAGCTGGTGTCTGGGTACATTGAGATCCTTGTATATGAAGGCCAGGGAGCAAGATGTGCCACCATCTTGGTAGGACAATGACACTGACCACCAGGCAGAGGCCGGGCTGCTGTGTCACAATGGGGGGCAGGGAAGGTGAGGGCCCTTGCGTGTCCCTTACTACCTCCTCGTCAATGTGATGGCAGGTGGACACGTGCAGCCACCCGGCCTGAGAAGTCCATGTGACCAGAGCTCAGCCCCTCAGGGGTGGGGGTCTGGGTCGTGCTACCAGGTAAGTCCCAGAGTCCCAGTTAGTACCAAAGGGTGGGATCCAGGTGGACAGTGGAGGGGCCCTGTCGGCCTCAGTTGTACCCTGAGCCTCTGCTTCCCAGTTTCCTGGGCAGGGACTCCTCGGTGGTCCTGCGGTTGCCTCCTCAGCACACGAGGCAGAAGGTGGTGGACACTGCCGTACACAGATGTGGGCCAGGTCGCCTTTCAGGCAGGACCTGATAGGAGGTCTGTCAGTTCTTCTGGCTGCCTCGCCCGGGCAGGTCCCTCCTGGCTGGCACAGGGAGAGGCAGGGCTGGCACTGAGTCCCAGTGGTGGCCGTGGCCTGGGTCTCCCTGTGGGCTGGTCAAGGTGTCAACAGCCAGCACTTTGCTCAAGGCTCGCCCTCTGTCCATCTCTGCTCCGTCCACCTGCCTCCCAGGTGCCTCTCCCTGACTTGTATCCACATGAAAGCCCATCTCAGTGCAGCTTCCGAGGAGCACCCTGCAGGGGGCAGTGTGCAGGGCCTCAGCTGGTGGCAGTGAGGGTGGCCACAGGCCACATGCCAGGCAGATGGCATGCTCTAGTCAGATGGTGGTTTGCTCCACGCTGCCTCGCAGGGTCCAGCGGATTCAGGGGTTGCCCTGTGGCTCAAGCGGCCCAGCAGCAGCTCTGGGGCTTCTTCCAGCAAAACTGCACCCTCTTGGCAGCTCTCCTTGCTCAGGCCGCCGGCCTGGCTGTGCTTTGTGGCTGAGATCCGTCCAGCCAGGATGGCTGCTGCCCAGTGACAGCAGTGACAGGTCCGGGGGAGGCAGTGCCAGGGCCGAGCAGCTCCTCACCACCTGCTGACTGACCCCCTGACCTGGGGTGGGCCTGAGAGAGGAGCAGCTCCCTCTGCCCATGGCCCAGCTAGGGGCCCCCGCCTGCCCTTCCTGTGCCCGGGGATGAAGGGGTGCAGAGAGGGTCCCAAGGAGGGTCCCTCCAGGTGAGGATGCCGCTGCTCAGACCCCGGCTTCTCCATCCCCACACGGGACCCGGGCCCCTGGTGGTCTCACCCAGGCCCCTGCCTCCCGCAGATGCTGTGGCTGCTGTTCCTGAGCCTCCCAGGCCCTGGGGGGCTCCGTGCCCTCGTTCCCAAGTGAGTCCTGACTCCCTGTCCCAATCTCTGCTCAAGCTGCCCAAGCCCCTCAGCGTCAACTCAAGGTG